TTGAAATTAGTTACCATCTTGGCAGTAGTGCAAGGTAAAAAAAAAAAAAATCTACAGATTTAGGCAACCACCCATGAAGCTGATTAACAGTCAGTGATCAGGAGGAACAGCTTTGCCTCTTAAACTTTTCACCTCTCATTGTTAACTGTGAAATTTTGTTTCCGTTCAAAAGCAAGCCTGTAATCAGCACGGTGCCACTCTGCGCTTGTCTACCAGGGCTTTTGTTAAACTGTGCCCACACCACCACGCAGCACGCTCAGGAGCCAGGCAGCCATAGGTGTAGTGGGTGGGTGTGCGTGTGTGCATGTGTGTGTTTAAATATCACCTCTCTGTTCGTCCAGGCAACGGGAAGAAACATCAAATATGTTCCTCAACTTCTCCCCTCCAAGGCTATGGAATCAAAAGGCCCCGTTTGATGGTACCTCTCCAGATCACTAGGATATTAAGATAGCAGTTGTTTAGGAAGGTAGAAATTAGTTGATCCAAGTCCTCTCATTCACGCAAATCTTCCCTAAGGCATGGTTCGTACACACCATGTTTCTCCCCCTCCTCCTCCCCCCACCCTTATGCACCCTTGATAATTTATAAATTATTATTACATCTTATATTACACTGCCCGGCGTCTCCCTTCACCTACCCCCCTTTTTTTTTTTTTTTAACTTTTGCAAAACTCTTGAGTGCTTCTTTCCTGTGATTTTTTTTTTTTTTGTATGAGTCATGGAAACAGGCTTGGGTTGCGCTGTGCAGTCAGTACCTTGTGTTAAAGGCACGGCCGGATTGCACTTCTGCTTATCTGTTCAAAATGCCACATGACAAGTGGCTGGTGCTTAAAAGCTGCGCCGGGTGCTGCTGCTGATTGTGGGTGCCGTGCACGGGGTAAACAGGCGGACCCGCACGCCGTGGCCGCGCTCCGCACCGTACGGCTGAGCATGCCCCATCCCATTATGAGGTAAAGCATAACGCCACTAATAGCAGCCCTATCGTCCAGCTCTGTTCTCAAAGACCCTGCTTGAACCTGTGAAACTGAAAAACTCTCTGATTCACAATGTGCTTTGGGTTCCCCACCACCACCACCACTCCCCGAGGTGCTTGATTATTTCTTGAAATTGTCGTTCTTAATCAGGCAAAGAAAAGATAGCCTTGGTCAATGGAATGATTCCTCCACCACGGAAGCAAGTATTTCCCGACAGCCTTGTGTGTGTTGTTCAAGGGCCCACTCAGCACAGGCTCGGTTCCGGACCGAGTGGGGACTGGGCGGGGCGGGGCTGGGCTGTGTCCTCAGAGGACCCTGGGTTCTTCCCCCATCCTGGGATCCTAGTCAGGACCGGCTGGGCCCTGACCCCTTCCAGCAACCGCGTCTCTGCTTTGGCCTCCAGAGGTCAGCATAGAATCCGAGTTAAACGTGATCGCTAATGTACCCATATTTACAGAAGAATTATTTATCCTCCACATATTGCCGCAGGGACTGGGTAAAGAGCTCATTGGGCCCCGTGTATGCACGCACTGTGAGTGAGTCAGTCAGCTGACTCACGCTGAGTAACCAACTTTCCCTGAGCCCCAATCCCCGAGGAAAGAATTTCGCTAGCTTGGCCCACTCGCTCTATACCATATTTCAGTGGGTTCCCTCCATCACTAGGGCAACTGTCAAAACAAAGATATTTACAGTCTGTAGGTCCCAGTTAGCCGGTTGGGACTGGGCAGTTGTAAAGCCTTTCCCTTTCCCAACCCCAGATGAAAAGACGGGATGCTGAGGGACCTGTGGTTAGGGTTAACACACTCACTACTTTGGTGGCAACAGAATCCATAAGGCTCTTTCTAAATAGACAACTAATTATCTGTAAACAGAGCAAAACTCCATCTTAAGAAAAGAGAATGGAGTGAGTGGACGGCCAGCAGTTCTTAGGCAAGTGAATTAGTCCGTGAAGACCTGGTTGGCTTTCTCTGTTCTCCAATGGAAGAGGAAAAAGCAGGGGGCAGCCCCAGTCTGTAATCGTGGGGCCCTGCCACCCTTTGGGGGAGTGATTTAGAAGAAACCTTCGTGTCAGCTTGCCCCCAGATCCAGGAAGGCTGTGGGGCGGGTGGGGAGCTTGCTCTTTAGCTTAGGGTTGGGAGGATGTGTGCCCCCATTTAAAATAATAAAGTTATTGGTGCCCCGTGTGCTTGAAATAAATAATTATTTCCATCCTTAGGGCAGTGGTCTTCAGCCTTCGTCATGCCGCGACCCTTTCATACAGTTCCTCATGTGGTGGTGACCCCCCAACCATAACATTGTTTTCGTTGCTACTTCATCACTGTCAGTTTGCTACTGTGGTGAATCGGGCGACCCCTGGGAAAGGGTCGTTTGAACCCCAAAGGGGTTGCGACCCACAGGTCGAGAACCGCTGCCTTAGGGGGAAAGTTTTTTTTTAAGGAAGAAGAATCACATGGCTCAATTCCACAGACTTGAAAAAAAAAAAATGACAGTTTTGCCTTTCTATTGGCAGATGGTCATTTGCTTAACTAGACAAAATAGCTTGTCAAACCCGCTCTAGCCACATAAGGAAAAGGACACTTTAGACGTGAGGGCACTGGTTGGAATTTCGATCCTGTCGTGGAAAGGCTCTCAGGATGTCTTTGCCTGAGCAGTAGCAAATGTTACTGCCCGATGTCCTCCTCCCTCAGAGAAAAGGCATTGGGATTGCATGTTATTCGCATGAAAAGCCCAAAAGCAGCAACTGAAAAGCTGTTGACATGTCTTGGCCCCACAAGCTGTGTCCCCGTGCCCAGGTGTGCACCAGGGCTCCACCCAGCTGCTGACCTGAAACGGTTGCCTGCTTGAATAGGGGGCTGCCAGACAGGGCAGAGGGGCCTGCAAGCGGAAACGTCTCTGCCAAATGGCCGGCCTGGTGCAGATAAATGGGCTCCGAGCTCTCCTGTCAGTGGAATGAACACCGCACAATTCAGAGAGGTCATAATGCAGTTTAGGTATTTACGAAAAACAAAACAAACCTATCCCCCTCAGCTCCCTACCCCCCCACACACAAAAAATATATATATACAGTATATATATATTTAAGTTCCCATCGTGTTGTCATTTGTCATGTCATGAACTATTTTGAGCGTGTGTATAATATATTATATAAAATTCTTCCCCATAGGCAAAAATATATATGTAAAAAGTCACCACTTACATTCAAAATTAATGGGAATGTTATAGTCTAAGCCCGCTGACTGTATTTTTCTGTTATTGTCTTTCAGTTGAAAAAGGAAAACCAGGATATATATGAAGAAAACCTTCACTACCCGCTTCTGCTTCTTTTAACCAAAACTGGATAGAAGATTAAGGTCTTCAAGGGGAAATGGGAACACCCAGCACACAATAGAAGGTTTTTCACAAAAACTGAAACCTATACTGTATCATACTCAATGAGCCGCCAGCTCCTGGATTAGAAGGTCCCCAGGACGGAGCCCCCCACCCCTCAGCGACAAGTGTGGGCTCTGGAGTCCTCCTGCCGTCACCCACGATTCCCCAGACAACCTCCAGCTCCCTGCCTCTGGCTGCTTGTTGCTTTCCCTGCACCAAAGCTTGGTGCGTCCTTAAACATGTTTAAAGCAGCCTCTTTGATATTTGAAGAATTGAACTTGTGAGCAACCTAAATATTTCTCCCTGGTAACTAAGACACAATTCACTTTGCAGGAACACTCCACCCCCCACCCCCCACCATCTTGTAAATGTACCTCTTTGTCCTGTTTTTTGGTAGGAGCCCTTTTCTAACCTGTAAACACAGCAAACATCATGATATTTTTCCCCCTGGTTTAAAAAAATAAGTAAAGTCCATCTTTCCAATCTCCTTCCAATTAACTGTATTAAATCTACCATCTCTTTCTCTCATTCCTTCTTTCCCCTCCTTTTAAACAGGATTTTTTTTCTTCCCCCCAATAGATGTATAAGAAATCAGCCCAAAGCCTCATAAACTGACCGTTTGTCCTCTGGACACAATAGCGTGGCCAGCCCTCTGCTCCTCCTCTCCAATTATGTGTGATTAGTCTCAGTGTGTTGTGTCAAGGAGGGGGAGTGTGCTGAGTGCTTATTATCTGTTTAGGTACAAGAAGAGCACATTTAGGCTCTATGAATGAAAAGTGAGCCTTTAGCAGGGCTCAGATCTAACTGCTGCTGTTCTCCCGGCCTCTTTCAAAACAGGTCCTTCCCATAGAAAGCTTGAATAAATGGTTGATAAAGTAGATTGCAACTGGGGGAGGTTTAGAAATAAAATAACCCTCCGTCTTACAGTTATTTAAAATAGGGATATACTGTATATTGTTATTCACTGTGATTCAAGTGTCTGGCCAGCATTTAATAGGAGCTACCTAGGATTAAGGTGGAATGACTTTTCCGCAGGGAACCCAAGCATATCCTTGTTTAGTGCAGCCAGAAGATGCCCTAATGCCTTTTGTGGAAATTCAGATGTTTATCTGTAAGGAATCATCTGTGCCCACTTTAACAGTAATGTCATTAGCAGGTCAGCCACATAGCCTCCTATCTGTAGCAGAGGGAAAGCATGTATTTGGTTGGGAATACGATTAAGAGGTGGGAGACTCGGGACAGCACCCTTTTGCATGTTAAACAAACTTCGCTGTCATAAAAACAGCCACGCTCAGATGTCTCCTCTGCTCACTTCTATCATCAAACACATTTTTTCACCATCAGTTTGCATGTCCTTGTATCCCGCACTTTTTCTGCTCCATTAGAGCACCTAGATGGGTCTCGGAAGGCATAGGTCAAGTCGCAGTTAGATCACACATTTCTGTCTCACAAAAACTTGAATTGCAATGCCAAGTGATGGGCTAACATCACAATAACAGCAATTTATTCCTCTTTGGATAAAACAGCAGTCTATTCTCAGTGCTACATAAAGACCAGGGCAATGCAAACCAGCCATTTAGCTGAGGGGTTCAGCTCGCGGCAGCTCTCCTTGGGTGACTGTATAGGTTGCACACTGGCTTCATATTTTCTTGTTTAAAAATTAGAATCTGGGATGTTTTAAAAGGCAGGACAGGTAGTTCCAGTTATACTAGTGAAAAGACAGCGCAAATTATCTCCCGTAAAACCTGCAACGGAACCTGCCAGACAAAGGAAACCCATCGCGGTAGGGACACCTAAGATGGGCTATTCTTTTCTTCTTCCTCATCTTCTTTTAAAATATACGACAGGCCATGAGATTTTTCTCTCCCCCCATTTCTCCTCATGAAAATACATGAGTGGCCAGGAATTCAATTTGCATTTGTGTGTTGTGGGTGTAGAAATCTAGTGTTTATTTTTCTGGGGAGAAATTGTGTTTTGAAGAAAGGAGAAAAAAAACCCAACTAGTAACGTGGTGTTTTTAAATAATGGCGATCCGGTGGTACAGCTACCTAAGACGGAGAAAGGCTTCCAGAATTGAGCTGCGCTTACCAAGTGGCATCTTGTCAAGAATTCTGCTTACGGTGTGAGTGAAACCCAGAGAGCGAGATCCCCTGTAAAATGCTTCACTAGGTCTGCTCTGGACTGGCTCATCACCTGGAAATGCCTCCAGCTCTGACTCTTTAGAAGTTTGTGAGGTGCTAATGTCACATCTGATGGAATCATTTAGGATTCTTTTTCCTCCTATTTTAATGAAGTATGAGTATCGAGAAGGGGGCATTGGGACTGCTTTTGAGAGTTCATACATCTCCATTCCATCTGAACTCTGCGACGGAGAATTCTTTCTCTGCAGCCCTGATGGGTTGTATCATTGCCCTTGAAATGCACACACCATTCCGTGCTTGTCTATGCAATCACGCATGGCATGTATTGCTTTCCGAAGGGAGCATGTGTTCTTAGGCAATCTCAGGAATTATTATGCTAGGCCTTTTCCTGGGGTATCTGTATCTCCGGATAGCCTTTGTCAGGCTAAGTCGGTGTGGTTGCAGCTAAAAATGCTTCCAATGCTGCCCATGGTCGATCCTAATGCAGTGATCCGAACAGCCACATCGAAGTTGGTTATAAGAAGTATATTTTATTTTATAGCAAGACATAGGCTGCGAATTGGGATAAAAGTGCTAGAAAGGACTGCCTAAGAGGTTGATGCTATTTTGTATAAATTGTGTATTTGGGTGGCTTTTTGACTGAGCATGAAAAATGTGACTTCCATTAGAGGAGGGTAATTTGGGTGCTCAGTATTCAGCAGAAAACTTGTCGGGCCATAAAAGCTTTTCTGGCTGCTTCCTCCGGTGTTTTCAGAGAAGAGCTGCCCACCCCTTGCTGATTTTCCCTTTGGCTTCAGCCGGGGCTGAATTTACCACTGCATACCTGTTGAATCCATTTGGGGGATCCAGCAGTTAACTGAGTGAATGGAGGGATTAGCAGCCCTCTGGAGCCCCATTTCAACAGCCAGGTGTCTGTCCTAAACTAGTTAACTGCTTTTGACGGTTGAAGAACCTGGTTTTAATACCAGTCAGGAGGTTTTCTCTCTCTCTTTCTCTACCCGCCTCTCTTCACAACCAAAGTGGGGCAAGCCTTCTCCTAAGGGTTAGGCTGGGGGTGGGGGTGGGGGTGGGAGTGGGGGGGGGTTGTTTTGTTTTTCATCAGAATGGACTGCCCCCCTCCCTCCTTCCACAGAATTTGCCTTTGTGCTTACTCAGCATTTGACTGGTTTCTAATCTAAGCCAGACAATTCAGTGGCATTGTCTGGCAGGACCCTTTCAGGAACTCTGGGGAAGTGGGGTGGGGGCCGGGGCAGCGGTGCAGGATGCCCACACAGGAGAGACTCAAAGCCTGTGTGGGCACACATGGGGACACACACTCACAGGGACACTGCTGGTTAGGACCCACATCTGGGCTCCTCGATTCCAGGCACTTTGCTCCCTAGATCAAAATCTCCTGAGTTGAGACCGAATGAAACATTGTAACTCTATGGCGTCTATGCCACTGGGGAAAGGTGCTTTGGAAAGTCAGCCTAGGTCTCCGTAGATACTGAAGTTAGGGCACGTACATCTCCTGGGGGGATACTTTCCAGACGAAGAAGGCGCACACTGGTGTCTAACAGATCATTGAACCTTCAATGCCACTTTCCCCGCTCGGCTTTCCTGTTACCCAGAGCGGTCGCTGCCCAGGCTGTGGCTAAGTGCTCGCTGTGTTCCCTGCCCTGCAAAGTGTATGCATCTGGCACCTCTGTTTTCCCGTTTTTGTTGTTGTTGTTTTCTCTTTTTGTCCCCCCTGACTTTTCAATTAATACATTTTTTAATAGATAAAACAGATCATACTGTGACTTTTAAAATGTCAACAAGCTTGTCAACAGAAATGTAATAAAATGGCTAATAGGAGATTCAATAGTTAATAGAGGGCCTGAAGTGTGAGTAAATACAGTAGCTGTCTATTGGAAACCGTGCAAGTGAAGATGGCTTTAGTATTGCAAACTGAGGAAGAAAATTGTTTTTAATTAGCACCTTCATAAGAACTGCTGATTAATACTGTTTTGTTTGGGGCAAAGCTTTCAGCTGAGTAATTTGTGCAGCCATTACAACAGTTTTGTTAGAGCGGGGCTCCTGTTGTGAAACACAAACAGCAGATGATAATGGTGGAAGATGAGTTTGTCATGTAACAATTTACCTTATTGAAAAAAGCTTTATATAAAACCCAATACAGTAGGTACTTGCAGAAATCACATATTTTAAATCCTTCCAAAATTGCAGTGTGCCATGCTTGCGGGTTGTTGGTTTGTTGTTTGTTTTGGGTGTGTGTTTTTTTCTCCCCCTTGGGGACTAGAAGCAGATTTTATATCATTTATAAAATTATATACACAATTTCAAGGTGGGGGAGCGTGGACAAACCACTTTCTCAGCAGTGGTTTACATCAGAGCCGTAAAGGGCCACTAGATTCAAAGGCGTTCTAACTACACAAAGCAGGTTGGAAAACGGAAGCCTCATTAAATGTTACTCCTGGTACATTTGCATGTGGACTGGAGGCAGGGAAATCCGAATTGCCCAGTGCTTCCTTAGGTGGGTTTATCACTCAGAGGTTCGTAAACAACAAGAAAACTTCCTTTCTCCGGGGGAGTTTCATTTCATTAACCCCCATGGGGCTGAGGGGGTGTTTTAAGTGACCAGGGGAAAAGAGCTGGTCCACTGAAACCTGACCGAGGAATAAGAGGTTGGCTTCAGTAAGCCCATCAAACGGGATTGTGCTAGCCAGAAGCATGGAAACTTTTTGTTTTAATAAAATGCGATGGTAAAGCACATTTGCATTAAAATATTACACTAACCAAGGCTGGTAGGAACTGTAAATTATTGGAGTGGCGTAATAGAGCCTGATTTTTTTTTCCCTTTTCTAGACAGGCCTTCGGGGTAATGACAAGGGTCGAGGCTCACGGCAGTGCCCAATAAGCCTTAGACAGCATAATAGTCGGCAAAGAAAGCCACCGAGCACTAATGCGAAGGAAGAGCTGTCCGCCACATGCAGCAAAAATCACCAAAGGTCATTTGATGGTAGCAATTGTGACATAAAATTGGTGGCCATGCTACATGTCTAATACTCAGCACAGCTTTATAAATGATGGGCCCCTAGCGATGGCTGTCATTAAGTGCTTTCATCATAATAAACTTTAAACTGTTGGCTTTATGAATCGCCAGCTAGCTTCAGCTGTTCGTTGGATGGAGCTCCGCAGTGCCTTAAGTGTGACAAGACCTATTAGGAATTGCAACCATGTTTCGAGCGTACTTGGCTTTCCCACTCCTGGGGTGATTGCTGCCTATTAAACGGCGTCTGGGAAGATTTTCCTCCAGCAATCTCTGATCAAGAGCTTTTTTGGGCTTTGACCTGCATTTCCTTCAAGACTTTCTCGGAGGAGTTCTATAAGAGCAAAACTCCAGAGGAT